CGAGAAATGTAAAATTTTTTTGAACTAACGCTATTAAAATGTAAGATTTTATTATATTTTTACATCACTAAACGAAATATTACAATAATTTTATTAAATTTGACCTTATTATTATCGATATAGCTATTAATACTACATTTTGCAATCGACACAAATCACATGTTTTCTGTGATTTACTTCGATCACAGCAAATCACAAAACTCGCATGTCCCTGGTGCTGGCTAAACTTTTGTAATGTCAGTAAAATTATCATGTGACAATGTACTATTCAATGTAAAGTTACATTTCAATTTCGTAAATTTACATGAAGTAATTTATGTAATACATCCTTAACCATAACTAATCCCATTACTCAATTTAGATATTCACAAAAAAAACTAAAATTGAAGATTTTCGCCATATGTAATACTCAGAGTAATACCCGGACCAGAAATAATTTATTTAACTATCACTAATATACTGTATATAATTTAACATTTATCTAAATGTATACAATATAAAACTCTAATAATATATCTACCAAAAACTTGTATTAAGTTGATAATTAATAGTATAATCTAAAGCTTTTATTAAAAAAAATAATAATTAGGTTTAAAGATATCTATCTATATCTATCTATATTAAATAAAGTACTTCCTCATCCAAGTGCTCACTTGATCAAACACAACTAAGAGAATACCACCACCAGGTCCAAGCCTAAGAACTTTAGGAACAAAACCTTTATAGAGTGCACCAACTCTAAGATTTGTTAAAAAAAAAAAATTATTATAATAAGAACCCAATTTGTTGTGAAACCAAACTTATTATATAAAATATTTAGCGAAATATTAATTTACCCTTCTTCTACAGCTACTGTCTTAATAGCAGGTAGTGTCCAATTGTACTTCCTCACTGGTCCGGAATCATTCTGAATTCGCGTTTTGACCACATCAAATGGTGTATTTAAAAGCGTACCTACGGTACCACCAATGCCACCCGCGATAAAGTTGTTTAACAAAGTTTGTTGTTTTGACTGAATGTTATTAAAAATATTAATATATGTAAATCTTTAAATATTAAAAATATTAAATTTGTTCTCCAGGAGATAAATAATATTATACTAACGGTCGATTTTGGAAGCATCCTTCTTAAATTATAAATAACGCCAAAATATCCACCATTCCACACAGCATGACGCCATATTGTTGATTCTAACCCATTATACAACGCGAAGGGTCCTAGTATGATAATTACTTAGCAAAGCAGCATTTAAATAGTAGATACAAAAGAATTAAAATCTCTTAGTACCTTCGTTTTTGATAATTTTTGCTATTGCATCGAATGTGCCGTGATATTTTCCTGCCTGATTGCGTATGATTATGATTGTATTTGTTTTTATGATTATTAATATTTAATTTTAGTTTATATGTTAGATCAAATACTTACGCTTTCCTTATCTTGAAGACGAATCTTGACGAGTTCAAATGGAACTATAGCAAGAGCTTCCGTACAACCTGAAGCAACACCCGATGCAATTGACAATGGTTGCGTCATCTTATCCACACCAAAAAGTTTCTTAAAAAGTGTTGAATATTGTTCATTCGCTGAAAATTTAATTGCCCTTTTTGGCGCTTCAACAAAGATCGGTGGAAGGATACCTCTATAAAGACGGCTAACACTATAAGTGAAAATTGACCGAATTTAAAATAAAATAAAATAAACAATTAAAATTATGATTTCAAAAATATTATAATAAGATTTAGATAGTATCATCTCATTTATTAAAAATTGTCATTAAAATTTCTGTCTTGAAAATTTAATAACATCTTACTCTACAATATTTGGCATACCCTTCGTTCTTGACAATTTTCCGAAGACAATCAAGTACAGAGGTGTACTTTTCTCCACTTACATCTGTATTAACTTGTAATTGAAATCTCGTTTTTACAACTAGAAAAAATAAATAAATAAATAAGTAATATTTGTATTAGTGTTAACGTAATTAACTTGTATTTACCGTCAAGCGGATACCTATCAGAAAAGAAAATTATTATATAATTTTATTCTCAAACTTATTAGAGATTGGACCGCTGAGAAAATCTCTACCCAGGTTATCCGGGTAATTTACAATATATCTGATATATTTTGGATAACCATATAGTAACAATTTTTACCCGGGTCCAATCCTTAGAATTTATAAATATGCAAAAGTACTCACATCACAAGAATCTCACTAACACCGGCAAT